ATGACTAGTAGTTTGTGGACACAAAATCCTGTAGGATTCTACTATTCAGCCTCACATTAATTAGAGTAGCTGTCCATTAACATTTACTCACACTCCTGCTGCTCAGTCAATTATCCAACCCGGTCCATAATTTACCATCACTTTCACCAGTTTTACATCATATTAAATAATTTTGAATACCTTCCGCTGACTGTGATTTCAAACATTAACAGATTTGTCCAATTTATTGAGGAAAGTTTCAGTCTTCCCTTAAATCTAGAAACATGGCCACTGTATTGTGTATTTCCCTTTCAAGCAAAACACTGAATTCAATCATTTTATGACCAAATGATCATATTACAAGGCTGTTAAATGAATTTGGTTCATTGCTCATTATTATCTCTAATGTGGCATGTCCTTTTTTCCCAAGATCATATTGTTGTAGAACTCCATCAAGAGCAGTCACTCTCTGACTTGATCGCCTGCTACCCAATCTATATGAATATAAACTTGCCCATCAAAACCCACTGCCTAAACTATATGCTTATCTAAATCTTAGTTAAGGGGTTTACTTCACATATGCCAACTTGGGCTCTGCACAAAACTTCCAATACAGTCTTAAATTCTATTTCTTAATTGTACCCATAAAGTTACCATTGTTACTTTATCTCATATCATGTCCTCCCTCATTATTGTAGTGATTTCATCCTTACTCACTAAAGCTACACGTCCTTATTATCATTTTCCCTATCTTTACTTATAATCTCTATATCTAAGTCCAAGTCCTTGTCATTTTGCAGCCAGAAAGGATGATTTTAACCCTTTATTCCCTCTTTAGACAAGACTCATTTAATTTGTTGAAACAGTTATTCAAAAATGGCATACAGCTCAAATCTTGGCTGCAAAAACAACTGTTTTATTCATTTCTTTTAAACAGATAAGCTTCTAATCAATTATTTCTACAGATGACAATTTCCAATTAAAATTTACACATTTACTCACCCATATTTCTATCCATCAGTGTTCAAATTTCAATTTAGTACACATGATGAAATTACCCAATCATATTCAAACAAACACACATGACTATCTTCTCCAATCATAATATGGTCTTACAAAAGTGTAAACACATCCAACTGTAGGTACGTACTTGAGACTATAAGAAAACCTATACTGTCCCTTTAACCTGCTTTCACAGCCACATATCATACCAAACATGTTGAGTTTGTAGTTCATTCAGTTTTCTCTTTACAGTCTAAACATTGTGTAAAAATTACTGCTTGGACCACTATCCCCAACCAGCACAGTAGCTCAGTGGTTAGCACTGCTGCCTCAGTGCCAGGAACTCGGGTTTGATTCTAGCCTTTGGTGACTGTCTGTGCGAAGTTTGCACTTTGTCCCCGTGTCTGTGTGGGTTTCCGCTGAGTGCTCAGTTTCTCCCACAGTCCAAAGATGGGCAGGTCAGGTAGATTGTCCATGTTAAATTGCCCGGTAATGTCCAGAGATGTGCAGACTAGGTGGATTAGTGATAGCAATTGAGGGGTTACAGGGTTAGGGTAGGGAACTAGGTCTAGGTAAGATGCTCTTCAGAGGGTTGGTACAGACTTGATGGGCCAAATGGCCTCTTTCCACAATGTAGGGATTCTATGATCCTATCCTATCATGTTAATAGATTATTCAGAAGTTAAATTAATATTTATCTGACATCATTTACTTGTGAACACCCAATTTCTGCTTCCATTAGAAACCTGGTACCAGCCTGATTCAGGTGGAGTCCATTCCAATGGTGCCATTCCTTTCTGTCTCAATAATGGACCCAGGAGCATATGAATAGCCTGACATAGCCCTCACCCTGGTACTAAGAAGGCACGCAACACGTCAGACTCTCAGAATTGCTTAAAAAGGGTGGTATCATTTCCCCTACAATTATCACATGAAGCTTCCCTCTTCCATGCTTTGGACAACTTCTTGCTGCAAGGTGTCCTGATCTGCATGTTGGTTCTCCTTCCAGCAGTCTTTATTCCTTATCCTCACAGGTAGCAACTACATTGTACCTGTTGATTAGGATCAATTTCTGTATCTGCATTTTCATTCTCATTCTTTACTTTACCTCTCACCATTGGTCACACAAGCCTCATTATGAACTTCCATCTCCCTGCAAGATTGACCAAAGTCTGGAGCAAATTATCCTGATGCTTGGATATATAGGGAATGTAGATCAGTATGTCCAACTTGCATTCCGGCTCTTTGGCTCTGAATCAGAGAGATTCAAGGTAGACGCAGCTACTCGAAACGTGTTTACTGAGAACAGTCTCGTTGTCTACAAACTGGAACATACTGCAGTCCAGACACATTGAAGAAGAGTCATTCTGACTTAAAACATAACTCTGTTCCTCTTTTCACAGATGCCTCCAGACCTGCTGAATTTCTCCACCCTTCTCTGAACTTGGTCCAGACACTAACTTGATCTACCATAGCTTAACACTAGATTATTTGTTGATAATTTCAATGATCTACTCTCCACACTGTAATGGCCTAACCCATGCACGGCAACAACTTACAAATATCTCATCACCAAGACAGGATGAGCACTAAACTTGACATGCAGATACGCTTTTTGTTTAAAAAGTTACTCCTGTGTTTTGGCAGAATTTTTGCTCAGCACCAGCAACAAGTTTCACTTTAAATAAGTAAATCAATAATAACAAAGTTTTATAACTTTTTTTAAAATAATAAATCATTGTGTTGTGTTTCAGGTGTCTGGTAATTTTTATAACATGGAGTAGCAAGTCTCAGAAGCAAAACAGTTGAGAACAGCTTCAACACTGGCACCTACCTGACAATGTGGAAAATTGCCCAGCTATGTCACATTCACAAAAAGCAGCACAAATCCAAACCAGACAATCAGCATCAAAACATCTATTCTCAATCATCAGTACAGTGATTGAAGGTGTCACCAATAGTGCTATCAATCTGCAATCATGTTCAGTTTGGATTTTGCCAGAGCTACTCAACTCCAGACCTCACTAGAGCCTCACACCAAACATGAACAGAAGAGCTGAATTCCAGAAGTGAGGTGAGAGTGACAGCTGTTAACATCAAGACTGTTAAAGTGAAAAAAAATGTCTGTGGATGCTGGGAATCTGAAACAAAAGGAAGTGCTGGAGAAACTCAGCAGGTCTGGCAGCATCCAAAGAGAAACCAGAGTTCACATTTCGAGTCCAGTGACCCTTCTTCAGAATAAAAGTCAACTCCAGGACATCTCAACAGTAGTTCCTCAGTGTAGACATTTTTAGTCAACCTGTTGGATGTATTATGACACAATTCTGAAGTAGGACTTGAACCCAGGTCTCCTGGCTTGGAGGTAAGGACACTATCACTGTGCCACAAAAGCCTGACTTCCTAAATTATTTTTTAATTAATCTGGTCAGAGATTAATCCTAATCTCTGGAGTAGGTGGGACTTGAATATGGGGTAGATACACTACCACTTTTAGCTGGCAACTAGGGATGAGCAATAAATGCTGGCCCAGCCAGAGACGCCCACATCCCATAAATGAATGAAAAAGGCAACATATAAACAAATAATGTCATGGAATCAGGGCCATCTCCTCAAACTTATTTATATTTAATCAAATTTTGGAAGGGTAATAACATAAGCCAACCAGTTAAGAAAAAAAGAGAAACCTTACCATGGTCCACGTGAGCCACAATACAGATATTCCGGATGTTGGCTGTATTCTTTTGTAGATCAACAATATTTTCCAAATTAGTATGACCCATTGTGAATTTGATTCTGGAACAATATATGAAGAAAATAATAGTACTGTACCATTCCACTAACAATCCAAGCTAAATGTTCTAATATGTTATATTTTACATTCAGAATGCTAAATACTATAAATGCATAAGATAGTACAGCAATCCAGGTTAAGTCAAGATGTTACTCTTAAGATTGCTTAAAACTTTTATAATAAAGTGCTGAAAGATCAGAGGCTGCAGAAAACTAGCAAGTAGCAAATAAAATGAAGTTGCCAGAATCAATGAGGATGAGTTTGCAATTACAGGTTTACATTAGCTACCGCGATATTGTGGCTTCCTAACTGAAGTGATACAATACTATACTTAATAGAGGAATTTTGTAAATGTATCTCACTCAGAAACTATTACAGGTCTTTGGAATAACAGTGCATTGCCCTCAGTATTTTGAAGACTAGATGAGTTAACCATGATCCATAGCTATCCCTCAATCACACACAAGTTGCCCATTGTTGACTACATTCATAACATGGAAAAACAGTTGGCAGAGTACAAATGTCAGCCTCAAAAACAATAAAGGTGTAAGAGCAGGCCGATCTTGCAGCACCACTGGCAATGAACGTCCGTCATGGCAAGGGTTCCAGGCTCCAGCACTGCTTGGCCCTCTACTCCATGAGCAGGGCAGTGAATGTGCACTGAACATATGCTGGGCCTTCAAACACGGGGAGTGAGGTGAATGGCGTGAGGGACTGGGAGCGGGGAACACTGACCCTAAACCCAGGCCCAGTGGAGAAGAAAGAGTGGGAAGGGGTCGGTGTGGAGTAGGGGCAGGTATGGAGGGGAAAGGGGGAGGAAGAGGGGGAAGCGCTGACCGTCAACCCCATCTCAATGCCTCCCACACCCGGGAGAGTGAAGATGACAGAAGGCCGTGCTCACCGGAACAAGTCTCCCGGCAGATATCAAATCGAGCAGCGGCACCACGCTGACAGTCAGGCTCCAAGGCGCCTGCTCGGGCCTGTACCCTCTGACCTCTGACGTCGCGCCGACGCTGCGCCGTTGCCTGGTCGCGGCGGTTGCTGGGCAGCGGTTGCCAGGTGACGGCGGCGTCCCTGGAGACGGCCCCGACACAATAGAGGCAGCGGCGCTGAGCGCAGACACCGGCCGCTTCGCAATCACTTCTCACCTGCCATGCTGACAGCCATCACCTGCAGACAAATTATATTCATATAGATATATTTATACATATACATGTATGTGCGTGCGTGTGTGTAAAACAAAATAGCTAAATACCAACCTCAACGATGACCCGAAAGTGCATCTGTGAGATTTGTAACTGTGGGTAAGTTGAAAAGCTAACAGGTCTTCATTTCAAGGGATTATTTTATATCAGGAGCTTGATGGTTCAAGACGCTGTGCGCCATGTACATTGTCGAGATTGGCATCACAACACTAAGAGAGTGCTGCACTGTCAGGGGTGCTGTCTTTCCGATCGGATCTTAAATCCTTCCAGAAGAAACTAAAAATCCCACTGCGCTATTGCAGGAGAGCAGAAGGACCAAGTCCTCCCCGGTGTCCCCTGACTAAAGCTTCACTTTCTCGGTCGACAGCCCCGAAGCAGCTTGGCCATTGTCTCAATGCTGCTTACTCTGTGCAAATTGATTGCCCATTTCCTAGCCGACAACAGTTCCTAACAATTCCAAAGTACTTCATTGGCTTGAAAACCCTTTGGTACACCCCAAGGTCGAGAAAGGTGTTTTACAATTGCAAACTTTCTTTCGGAACTGAACTTGAATCTATTGTCAGATGGATTACTGCTTTAAGGTTGAGCCATCTATTAATTACCTTAGCATTGCATTCTATCTATTACTGTAAGCTATTGAATCCTTTCTCCTGAAAACTATTGCATTCAGGAGGCATTCTGCTTGAGGCACGTTCCAAGAAAAACAAGATAAAATTTAGACCTGTACAATTCGTTGAAATTGATACTGGCTGACCTGTAATAATTTTTATCCTGGATGAAGTTTAGTTTAGGACCACAATTGTTTTGCACGTTTAAGCCCATCGAATTATATAACAATCATGTTATGATCAAATTAAATAACGGCTACATTCATACAATGTTGAAGTGTCCCAAAAACCAAGTTGAGCCGTTGTGTCCAGAGATGTGCAGGTTAGGTGGATTAGCTATGGGGTTAAAAACCCCATGTGGGGATACGGGGATGGGAGGGAGCCGGGTGGGATGGTCTTCAGAGAGGCGGTGCAGACTCGATGAACGGAATGCCTTCTATCTGCACTGTAGGGATTCATTTTTTTTCAGTATGTGTCCCACACAAATTGCAATGCAGTTAGTGGACATATTGCAAACATAATTAGTGGAAGCGCTGGCTGTGCCCTAGCACAACAATCTGTATCTATAAGTTACAAGAAAACGTAATGTGCTAGACAGGTATTACTGTTGTTTTGACCAGACTGTTTTTACTGCTTTTGACTATAATGGAAATAACTGCAGAGGTAAATTTCTGTCGATACCTGCATTGCATTGTATTTGCTCCTTACCTTCACAATTATAATTATTTTCTATTTAACCCTTTGCAACAATTGATATTCTTTCTCTTGGTGTATTGTCCTGGAATTAATTGAAAATTCTGTACCGTATTGAGTACAAGGCTATATCTTGTTATAAAAATGTGCATCTCTTCTGACACGACGAGGTGCGCTGTTTACAAGGACAGAAGCATTGCAGAATGTATTGTCCCGCTACTCAATGCATTTGTCCCTCATGAAGGCCACAAGTTCTAACGTTTTAACCAGGAAACAATACGTCCCCCGGGTGTTCCAGAAATCAGTCAAATTTTTTTGTTTTTCTGTAGCCTGACAAGTGAATGTAAATTTCTGGCCCCTTTGCGAGAACAACACAAAAAGCAGGAAATAGTTTATACATTATTCTGAAGCTGAAATAATTCTGACACTGAACTTTGACAAGTTGCTACATCAAAGGTTATTGCAGAAAATAAAAGCTCATGGTGTAAGGGTACCATATTAAGACGGACTAAAGATTAGGTAAAAACCGAAAGAACTGCGAATGCTGTAAATCAGGAACAAAAGTAAAGTTGCTGGAAATGTTCGGCAGGTCTGGCAGCATCTATGACGGAAAAAACAGAGTTAACGTTTCGGGTCCGGTGACCCATCCTCAGAACGTCCTCAGTTCTGCGGAAGGATCACCGGACCCGAAACGTTAACTCTTTTTTTACTTCACAGATGCTGCCAGACCAGTTGAACTTTTCCAGCAACTTTGGTTTTGTTGTGGACTAAAGATTGGTTGGTTGGTAGAAAACAGAATATGCATAAACTAGTCTCTGATTGACATTTTAAGTGGACTGTCACAGGGGATTGTGCTGGGGCCTTGTTGTACAACGTTGTACAATTTACATCAATGATGTAGCATAGTCTCAGACAGCACAAAGATAGGTAGGAAAGTATGTTGTGAAAAAGTCAAGGAGTTTGCAGATGAATATAGATAGGTTCAGTGAGTGGACAAAAATCTGGCAGAAGAAATGTAATGTGGGAAAATGTGAAGTTGTTGAATTGGACAGAGTATCACTTAACTAGAGAAAGACTGCTGAAATCTGAGGTACAGAGGGATTTAGGTGTTCTAAAAGTCACTAAAAGTTGACATGCAGGTACAGCACATAATCAGAAAGGCTAATGACATGGTCTCCTTTATTTTGAGAGGAATTGAACATAAAAGTAAGAATGTTATGTTTCAAATATACAAGGGCATCAGTGAGAGCACACCTTAAATGTTGTATGCAGTTGTTGTCTCTTTGTTTGAGGAAGGATGTAATCACATTGGAGGCAGTTCAGATGAAGTTTATTAGACTGAAACTTGGAATGAGGAGGTTTTCTCATGAGGAAGGATTGGACAAAAATGACTTGTTTCCACTGTAGTTTAGAAGTGTGAGGAGTGATTCAGTTGAAGTGTATAAGATCCTGAATTGTCTTGACAAAGTGGATGTGGGAAGGATGTTTCCTCTAGTGTGTCAGTCCAGAACTAGGGAACATTGCTTTGAAATTAGGGGTTGCCCTTTTAAACAGATATGAGGACTTTTTTTTCCTCAAAGGGTTGTGCCACTTTGGATCTCTCTGTCTCAGAACATGGTAGAAGCAGGGTCATTGAATATTCGTTCAGCAAAGGTAGATAGATTTGTTAGGCAAAGCAACCAAAGGTTATCAGAGGTAGATTGGAATGTGGAATTCAAAACACAAACAGATAAATCATGATCTTATAGAAAGGTAGATTATGGCCTAAGAGGCCAAAAGATCTACTTCTGCTTGGATTTTGAAAGGTTGTGTGTTTATGTGATCTGACATAAACTCAAAATCAGACACCAACTTATTAAGCTTATCAGTGACTAATAGGCAACTGCACCCATCAATCTGCTGACTGTGACATTTTGTGCATCCTGCCCCTTCTATTGATGATAACATTTTCACATTAGCTTTGACTATATTTTCTTACTTCCTTTCCCAATCTTCCCTAAATTTCCGCTTCTCATTTCACTTTAAACAAAAACTTCTATAGGGATAGGCACATTATTGATTGTCAATAGTTTAAAATATACTTCAGAAAAACACATATGTTTTTGAGACAGGTCTTTAGCACACAATGGGGTTTGGGAAGTATGTTGGAGAATGTGATGAAGGAATTTCAATTGTGGAATGGACTCATGTTGAGAACTTTCTGTCTTATGAGACAATAGTTTGTGCTTTGGTGGTTGACTATGTGTTAAGCAAGATCTATTGTGGCTGACAAAGCTCCACTCTGATATGACAGTCTCTATGGCATTTGTTGCAGATGAAGATGGAGAACCAAGAAGATGTAGGATTTTTTAGTGTCTCTTTACTCGGACCCTCTTCTTAGGTAGTTGGGTTTCAATTTTGCCTCGGCTCTTCTAGACAGGCAAGTTTAGAGATCACAACATTGGCAATTGTCTTCAGTTTTCTGTATCAAAGTCCATATTGAAGTATAGCAACTTGTGACCAGTGGTTGGTTCACCATGCAGGAGGTTTAGAGCCAATCTGCCGTGGACTCTGCTGGTTTAGCAATGCTGGAATGAACATACTCCGAGTTGGTGACTTTATCCTGTCAAGCGATGTCAAAGATATGGCTAAGGGAGAAAAGCTTTAAACTGTTAAACCTTTTCTATCTGCTTGGCACATGATGTTTTGGTTACACTGCTATGGGGGAGGAAACGAAGGATGCAAGCTTTATAGAGCCATCACTTGGTTAGAAACATATTTTAGAAGAATTGAAAAACCCAGTTCCAAAAAAGAATCATTGGACTGAAAACCTTAATTCTGCCTGTCTGTCTCTCTCTACAGATGCTGACAGACCTGCTGAGTTTCTCCAGTACTCTGTTTTTATTTCAGCATGTTGGAATAAAATTGCTGAAAAGTATTTCTGATTTAAATGTATTTGATAATATATTGAAGTCTGGTAGCCTTGTGCAGTTTTATTAATACAACTGGAAAGGGAGTTTATGAAAATAATCAGTGTCTAGACCAATGCCTATAATTAGACTGTTTCAATTAGCTGAAAATGATTTTCTAAAATCCTACACAGAACCATTTCTGAGTTTTTGTGCATTAAATAGCCAGTTTCATCGAAAAAGTTAAAAGAAGTTTGAAGCCTTCTAAAACCTGCCTATTAGTGGTCCTGAACCAAAAATAAAGGTTATTTTTAAAATCCTCTCCTTGAAGGATTGTAATAGACACAATTAGTGGAAATTCAATATGATTATTAATTCAATCTGGAACATGGTAGTTTTGTGTGTGAAGTGGATATCTAGCACAATGAATTTGAACAATGTAATTAGCCCTTGAATATTTATTTAAGTTTGGTGCTAATGTGTCTGATTTAAAGTAAATTACATTGAAAACAAAACTCAAGCCAATAGGAACACACAGCATTTAGTCCATTAGCCCCAAGCAAATCATTTAAAAGATTTCATTTAAATAGTGACAACTGAAGTAATTAGACACTATACAAGAAATGTCTCGATTGTTCCCAAAATTTAACCAATGAGAAAAGTATTTATTTGGCACTAAATTGAAAGCATTGTTCTTTGTGTGTTGTTGGAACTGTGTTAAGCTGCAACAACATTAGAGCCAGGGTAAGATAGTTCCAGCTACAATGCACTGAGTTGCACTTGCCAAAATCAGAGCAGGCATGGCAGCCCATATGCATAAATATACAAGAGCAATGTCACAGGAAACTGACGAGTACATTTAGATTATGCAGTGTTAAGATTGCTGAGAATGAGCGCAAGAACATATGAA